TCCTATCTAACCCTGCCCCCACCTCACAGGCCCTTGTCAAGTGTGGCTATCGAGTGGAGGACGAGCGTCCGCTGCGCGGATTGCCTGCGGACAGTCTTTGGTGCAGGATGTGGTTGTGCCAGCGCGAGTTGCCAGCTGCGGCGAGGGCTGAGCATTTCAGCAATGAAGTTATCCGAAGTTATCCACCAGATTCTGTCTGCAGGCCCAGATTCTGTCTTAACATCGAGTCTGATCGTAGGTCCCCAAGAAGTGCCCACCGTAGCTCCCGATTGGGATTTGCGTTTCTTCGAGGGATCGAGTGGATTCTCGCGTGAACCGTTTCAGTTTTCCGTCGGGGATTCTCTCTCTTTTTATTGACGGCAGTTGCTTGCACGGGGAACGTGAAGAAATGGCGCGAGGAGGTTTTGCTGTTGTGCATATGTCGGGTGGAACTCTTGTCGGCGGAGTTTATGCCCCCCCCCGTGTGAATTTGGACAAACGTCTGGCACTTCAGAGCACTCAGCGTTGGCTGTGGATGTTTTGCGTAGGGCTGCCCACGGTGGGCGCGATCGGCCCAGTCCCGTCGTCGTCGACTACCAGTCGTTGTTCATGGTCGTCGTGGACCCGCCGAGGGCTTTGGGGTGCGACCCTTCTGGAGAGCGATGGCTTGGCACCTGGGGCACGCGCCCCCCTGGGTCCCACTTCGCAAAGTCAAGGCTCATCAATGCATGCATGATGGGCTTGACCTAGACGCTCGCAATCTGGTTGCTGGGTCCATCGCCGCCGACTGGTGGGCCAAGCAGGGTGCGAAGATACACGATTTGGCTCCTGCGGGGGTTCAATCTTTCGAGGAGTCTGGAAAGCAGTATCAGAACCTGTGTGTAGGAGTTTGCGACGTCCTCGCGTGTTTCCCTAGCGCAGCGTAAATTTGGAGTAAGCTCCAGAGGGCTCCGAAGCCACCTGGGCTTAAGAGACCTGTGAGCCTCCATATTCCCGTCCGCCATGGAAACACACTCAGGTGTGGGCGGTGTTTGCGAGTTGTTAGTCTGAACACCTCTAGCCCTTGTGAGGATCTTAATCCTTCTCTCTCGCTCCTTTTGACGGGGGGGGGGCAGGGGGTGGGCGCAAGCTCCATTGGGCCAGGGAAGTATGCTCAGGCATTCAATTTTTTTGGTGTACTGTGCGGGGCTTTCGCGTCTTGCAAAGGTAGCGAGAAGCTCCGCAACCCTTGCACCAACCCCAAGAAGAGCTCGGAGAGGTCCAAGCTCTTGAAAGGTGTGGTTCTTGGAAGCACTCATAGGCTTGGCCAGCCCTTCTCCCTTTCTTCCCTCCCTGCCTTTTCCCTTTCGCCCCCTCCCCCCTTGCCCCTGCCTCCTCCTCGACTGGGCCAGCCTTTTGAGGTGCTTCTTTCTTAGTGGTGCGTCGGTTGCTCGTGGGGTGACCAGGCGCGCATCGGTCACCGAGGTCACCGAGGAGGAGGAGGATGAGGAGGAGGAGGAGGAGGATGAGGAGGAAGAGGAGGCGGAGGAGGAGGAGGAGGACGAGGAGGGAGGAGGAGGAAGAGGAAGAGGAGGAGGAGGAAGAGGAGGAGGCGGAGGAGGATGAGGAGGAGGAGGAAGTGGATGATGAGGAGGAGGAGGAAAAGGAGGAGGACGAGGAGGAGGAGGAGGAGGATTAATAATAATATTATTACGAAGAAGAAGATTCATAATAAGATGATTAATACTACGAATACTTTAAACCAAGAAGAATAATAACGACAATACGAATAATACGAATAAGAATAACAATACTAATACTACTACTACTACTAATAATAAGAAGAAGCATACGAATCATACTAACCATAATAATACTACTTATAATAAGAATAGTAAGACGAATTCGAATCATAATAATACTAGCAATGATAGTAATATTAATCAAAACAATACTAATAATAGTACTATTCAGAGTATTACTTATTCTAATAGCAATAATAAAAGTAATAGTAGTAGTAGTAGTAATAATAATAATGCTAATGATACTGATGAAAAACAATAATGATCATACTAACAACCATAACAATAATAGTACTACTAATAATATTACTAATACTAATATTAGTAATAATAATACTAATACTAACAACACTAAAACTAATTATACAAATAATACTTGCGCTAATAATCATAATAATCATATTAAAAATAGCAATACTAAAAATAAGAAAACTAAGGATAAGACAAACAATAAGAGGAAGAGGAGGAGGAGGAGGAGCAGGAGGATCAGCCGCGGCGGAGGCGGCCGTAGCGTCAACCATCCCAGCGGTATCGGAACATTTGCAGTAAGGGTGGGGCAGCAGGAGTAGCGTCAAATGGCACCCGCACCGGCATCATCACCAGTGTCACCCCGGTGCCCTCTGGACTCTGGATTTCTAGCACCAGTAGCCACGGCGGCAGGACCAGTAGTGGCAGTTCGCTTCAGCAGCGGCAGTAGTACCAGCAGCAGTAGCAATGGAAGCACGACCAGCAGTGCATTGGTAGCTGTACCAGTTGTAACGCCGTTGTCCGCAGCGGCACCGACGACCTCATACGCGGCAGTGCCAGCAGCAGCTTCAGGATCACTGCCAGCAGAAGCGGCAGAGGTATTCTCAGTATTTACAGTAGCGGTAATGACACATTGCGGCAGAGAAGCAGTTCATCACACAGATGGACAGTTCAACCAACAGCAGCAACAGCAACAGTGGCCGCAATAGTTTCATCAGAAGCAGCAGCAGTAGTCGCAGCAACAGCAGCAGTGGCAGTGGTCAAGACAACAGCAGCAGCGGCGGTAGCTGCAGTGGTGGCAGTGGCTGTGCCGGCATCAGCGCCTGCAGTAGTGGCAGCAGTGGCCGCAGCAGTGTCGGCAGAAACGAACACAGGAGTGCCAGCAGCAGCAGCAGCAGCATACTGAAATCGTTGGCTCCTCGACGCAACAGCCCGACGCGCGGCTAGATAAGCTGGCAAGAGGAGAAGGAGGAGGAAAGGAGGAGGAAGATGAGGATGAGGAGGAGGAGGCGGCGCACCAAAAGGACCTGTGCCAGGAAGAGGTCCGCGCGCCGGCCTTGGGCGGACCCTGCCAGACACACACACACACACAAACCAGCACACCTGCGCGCGAGGGCGTACACCAGTAGCCGCTCTCGGCTCTTGCGCCCGCCGCGCAGAAACGGCGGTGTTCCATTACCCGTCCTTGGCTGTGTACCGAACTGTACCACTGGCATGCCGCTGCGGGCAGGAGTGCTCCTCCTGTCCGGCCTCGCGTGTGCGGGCGCGCTGCAGACCCACGGGCATGAGGGAAAGATAAGGGCGCTGTACGTGACGTCGAGCTTCCCGAAGGACACCATGCCAATCGACGTGATGGTGGAGCATCAGCTTAAGACCCTCAGCGGCCCGAATGTTGAACTGAAGGCCGTGGTCTTCGACAACCAGCCGCCATGGGTGAACACCTCCGAAGCCTTTGAGTCCTACGACATGCAGCACCGCGGGCTCCTGAGGCTCTACAACGGCCACGTTTCCGACAAGATCCCCAACATCACGGTGAGGGCCATGGACTACAGCGACGTCTACGACCCGGAGTACCTGGCCCCGCTCTTCGACGTCAACTTCAGCGACGGGAGCGGGGCCAGGCTCCCGCAGAAGAGCCTCGTGGACATGTACGGGATCCACCGCGAGCGCGCGCAGATGCTGTCGAACTTCTTCGCCATGAGCAGCTTCATGAAGGAGTGCATGAGGCCAGAGCACGACGACGTGGACCTCTGCGTGTACTTCGACCCCGACATGCTCATGTACGAGAACACCACGGGCATCCTCGAGCTGGCGACCGCTACCTTCGAGGAGAACCCCGGCTTCGTCGTCCTGTCTCCGCCGTACGGCTGCTTCAGCCTGAAGGCCTGGAACAGGAAGAACCGCTGGAACGGCGCGTGCCCGTCCAAGAGCGCCATCGTCAGCAGCAGGCACGTGATCGCTCAGCGCGGGCGCCTCCGGGCCTCGCTGCCCCTGAAGTTACAGCCGGGAGACATCGGCAAGCAGTACTGGGAGGTGTCGATGACCGAAGCCCTGGGACGCACCGGTCGTGGCCAGATCCTGTGTGCGCAGGAGTTCTTCATCGTGCACCCTCCCAGCCGCTACCAGCAGAACAAGGCTGGGGCCATGTCGCTGAGGCAGCTGCTCAAGGAGATGGTGCCCGAGCTTTCGAGGTGCTCCGAATCCGGGACGTGCTCTCCCGAGGTGGAGGCATCCCTCGGCACGCGCGAGCTCGTCAGGCGGTTCGAGGCCGGCATGATGACCGCCAACAACGAGACCATGTACAACCGGGGTTGCGGCTGCTGCGCGGACATGATGCCGTCCACCGAGCGCGTTCGCGCTGGCGAGGCTTCGGGAGACTTCCAAACGGCACAGGCCTGAATTTTTGGAGGCCCGCGCGGACTTCTTCGGAGCCAGCGCTTGGCCCCCCCCTCCCGACGTCCATCAGGAGGAGAAAAAACACACAGACACAATTAATCGTCGATTCCACAGAAAATATTGAAAAATATGCGAAGTGGGGGGAAGACAAAAACCCAGAAAATACTGGAAAATATGGGGAATCCTTTTATTTGTGTGTATTTATTTGTGTGTCCCAGGGCCCCTTCAGTCCAGGGTGGAGGAAAGGGGAGACTTGGGAAAGAAGGGGGTGCAAGACTGTTGCCCGCAGCTGGTTTCGCTTCGCGCCCCTGCCTTCTCCTCGATTCATGGCCGCCTCTTGCGCCAGATTAGCTTCAGGAGGGAAAGAAACACACAGACACAATTAATCGTCGATTCCCCAGAAAATGTGGGAAAATATGAGAAGTGGGGGGGAAGACAATAACCCAGAAAATATGGGAAAATATGGGGACTATTTTTATTTGTGTGTATTTATTTGTGTGTCCTGGGGCCCCTTCATAGCTGTCCCCCATTTTCGCACGCCCTGTCACACCTCTGGGGACGGCGTTCAGGCAAGGGGCACAGCATGTTGCTGCGCACGAGGTTGGCGCCAGCGGAAAGGAATGAGAGAATCATGTGTGTCGGATCCGTCGGTGGATCGGCCTGGGGCAGATCCTTGGGTCATCCTGGAGTCCCGACCCCCAAGCGATCCGAGAGGACCTCCGAAGGTTTGTGCTCAGTGCCGCTTTCTGGTACCAGTTTGAAACATATCCCTATCCCAATGTTTGACATCACCTCACCTCGATGCCGATCTCAAGGATTCCCTCAGTTTCTGAGGGCCTATCCCTCAGATTGTCCTCTCTTTTTGCTCGCCCATCTTAGGGATGGGGATCAGTTCGAGGCTGGTTATTCTTGGCCTCGAGGCCTTCTTCCAGCCCCGTGGGGAGCTGGAGGCCGAGTCCTTCAAGAGTGCGGCCAACGACGCGGCCTTCGAGTGGGTGGTGCGGTGCATGCCGTGAGCAGCCGGAGCCGCCCGACCGGGCCAACGCCCGCGGCGGCCGCCGCTCTTTTGCTCCCCCGCGGAGTCGGGCTGTGGGCGGAACGCGCGGTGGGCCAGAGACCGACGGCAGCTGCTGCCGAAGAAGCGTTGCGCAAACACACGCACGCCCCTCGCAGTCTCGCGCGGCCGTCTCGGGTCGGCGACCCCCCTCCCCCTCGCGGTGCCTCCCTGGCGCCGCCCCCGGGGTGCGTCTGGCCGGTGCCGACCCAAGACGGCTGCGCGGACCCGCGAAAGTCCCGCGTTTCATCGAGTGCTCTTTCTGCTCGGTCCTCAGTTTTGAGCATGGTTCGGCGTCGGTGTCGATCCGGGGCGAGCGTCGCTTGCCAGCAGCGGCCGTTGGGCGCCCTCTCCGTTCTCTCCGTTCCCTACTCCTTCGGCGCCTTGCAAGGACCGACTTTGCGCTGTTCTAGGCCTCCTAGATGGGGTCGGAATAGTTGGGGTCGGAGGATCGCGCCGCATCGCCGAAGCATCGCCGGTGCGGTTCGATGTGCAGCCCGCGCATTTTCACGTCAACGTCGCCGATGCATCGCCGACGTCGCCGATGCATCGCCGGTGCATCGCCGGTGCATCGCCGACGCATCGCCGATGCATCGCCGATGCATCGCCGATGTAATCGCCGATGTATCGGCGAAACGGCGCGATCCTCCGAACCCGTCTACTCCGACCCCATCTAGGAGGCCTCTAGTTGTAATCGCGCTCTTCAGCGAGTTCTGAGTTGGAAGTGGCCTTGGAGGAGGAAAACGTACTGATGCCGAGGCCCGTCCCTCGTTCTCGCCCATCTGGGCCTATGGACTTGGTTCGGAATCCTGGTCAGAAGGAGGCCCGGGAGAGGTCTGGGCATGAGCGTGATCGTTGTTGTTGTTGTTGTTGTTGTTGTTGTTGTTGTTGTTGTTGTTGTTGTTGTTGTTGTTGTGGTTGTGGTTGTGGTTGTGGTTGTGGTTGTTGTTGTTGTTGTGGTGGTGGTGGTGGTGGTGGTGGTGGTTGTTGTTGTTGTTGTTGTTGTTGTTATTGTTGTGGTTGTGGTTGTGACTGTTGTTGTTGATGATGTTGTTGTGGTTGTTGTTGTTGTTGTGGTGGTGGTGGTGGTTGTTGTTGTTGTTGTTGTTGTTGTGGTTGTTGTTGTTGTTGCTGCTGCTGCTGTTGTTGTTGTGGTTGTGGTTGTTGCTGCTGCTGCTGCTGTTGTTGTGGTTGTTGTCATACACAGCGAATGCCCTTGCCGTGCTGTGCCCGCGTGCCATGCCGTGCCGCGCCATGCCATGCTTTGGTTCCAGGAGCACATGCCATGCTACGCCGTGCCGTGCTTACGCGGGATCTTGAATGCGGAAAGTGTGCCGCGCCGTCTTGTGGAGTGCTTACGTAGGTTATCGACTGCGAGAAGCGTGCCGTGCCGTGCGATGCCCAGTTCCCAGGCTGCGAAACATGTGCCGTGCCATGCCGTGCCCGCGGGCCCGGAAGTGCCGTGCCGTGCTCAGGTTCTATGGTCGCCAGCGTGGCCCTCAAGCAGTGTGTTTCTGGAGATCTATACCGTGCAATCAACGCGGAGCAACTTATGCAGTACAATCAGTGTGGTGCAATCTATGTGGAGCAACCTTTGTGTGGTGCAATATATTCCTATCTTAATTATCTCACACCAGGGATGGCCAACATCCCCCCCCAATAGAATCTGGCGGTCCCAAAGGCCCCGGAGGCTCTTCTCTGGTCCGTCCCTGAGGGCCCCAAAAAGGCTCCAGGGGAAAACCGGAAACAGTCACGACGGCCCGGAAACACCGAAATATCCTTCCCAGACGCCCAAGATGCCCCCAAGACAGCCCAAAAGGCCTCCAAGACGCTTCAAGAGGCGGCCAAGAAGCTTCCCAAGAGGGCCCCAAGAGGCCCAAATCAGAAAACGTATATTTTCAGCATGTACGACTCTTCGCCCGTTACGGCGTCGAAGATGGTCCAAGATGCCCCTGAGACCGCCCCAAGACGGGCCAAGAAGCTCCAAAGAAGCTTCCCAAGACGGTCCAAGAGGGCGCCAAGACGGCCCAAGAGGCGCCCAAGACGGCCCAAGAGGGCCCCAAGACAGCCCCAAGAGGCCCCAAGAGGGTCCCAGGAGGGCCCCAGGGAGCCACCAAGAGAGCCCCAAGACGAGTCAAGGTCTCCAAGACGCTCCAAGACGGCCCAAAAGCGCCCCAAGACGGCCCAAAAGGGTCCCAAATAGGCCAAATAACCCCAAAAGATTCCAAAAACCACTGAAGGAGCCCAGAGACGCCAAAGAAAAGAGCGATCGGTAGCCCCCAAATCAACCCGCAAAGGAGCACTAAGAAGGCCCATAGACGCCAAAGAAAAGAGCGATCGGTAACGTAAAAGCTCTGCACACCAAGGCTCCCAAGAGCGAACGGTGACATAACAAACTCTGACAACCAAGGCTCTCAATAGTGAGCGGCAACGTCACAATCTCTGACAACCACGGCTCCCACGAGCGAGCGGTGACGTAACCAGCCCTTCACACCAAGGCTCCCAAGAGCGACAAGCGCCATGAACCATCTCGGGCAAGCCCCCCAAACGCCGCTCTTTCCGTTTCCGTGCCGGCCCAGGACATCCATGAGGCTTCATACCCACGACCCAGACACGGTGGCCCGTTGTGCCGAACGCCATTCGATCGAATCTGGATGGCCTTCCGGGTCCAACATTCCTCCTTGGAATTCCGATGTGACGTTCATTGTGTGCCGGCACGATCGCAGCTCTGATCATCCGTTCTTCGGGCTCAAGTTCCATCACGTCAGGCCGCTCCCATGCCACCGAAACGACCAGCTTTTAGCTTGCGCCCAATGCCACCAACTTCTACCTCTTTTTGCTTACTCGTCAACGCAGCTGCATTCGTCCTCTGACAGACCTTGGTGCAAGGAGTGCTGTTCTACTGTCAACAAAGCTGTCCTTCTCAAGCCATGTGTCAACTGTGGGGTCGAGCTCCCTGAGACGAACTACGCGAAAAACCAATGGAAGCGAACTACCAGGACGTGTCTGAGTTGCACGGAGGCCGCACCCCAAAAGAGTGGGACATCTAGATCAACCCTCACCTCCATTTCTTTGGGAGATATGTCCACACAGTGCGACCACTGCGGCGCACTATTGTTTACCTCCGGGGCTCCATGTGGCCCTTCCGAAACCGAACAAAGACGACGGCAACGTCGACCCAAACCAACCCAAATGCCGAAAGGCCCCCAAAACTGTTCCAGAAAACCGCGAGCCACTTCTAGATGACCGACGACGGCGACGACGGCGACGACGGCAACGTCGTCGTCGCCGTTGTCGAACGCGCACCCTTGTTTCCATCACCCCACGTGCTTTGCCGTTTTTTGCAGCCCCATTGGCCTGCACATGTAGCTGCGCCTCGGCCCAATACGCCTGTTTGTCCTCCCCCCTTTGCCCCTGACAATGCCCTACACCAAGACTTCAAAGCGAAGCGAAGCGAGCTTCAAGTCTTGTATCTATATACACATATTAATGGTGCAATCTACGTATTGTAATTTGTGTGGTGCAATCTATTCGGTACAATCTATGTGGAACAACCTGGGTGGTACAAACTATGGTATACAATTGACTACCCTGCACCGCGCTTGACCACTCCACTGCTCGCGCAAGCATCCCACCCACCCACCCGCAACTGGGTTCGCAAAATCTCTTAAGACCGTGACGAAGAAGGAGGAAGGACGGCGACGCCGACGACGGCAACGACGAGGGAGGAGGGAAGACGACGACGACGACAACGACAACGACGACGACAACGACGACGACGACGACGACGGCGACGAAATAGGAGGGACGACGACGAGACGCCGACGACGGACGACGACGACGACGAGGGAGGAGGAGGAAGGACGACCACGGCGGCAACGACGACGGAAACGACCGCGACGCCAAAGAGGACGACGACGACGAACACGAGGAAAGACAGAGGACGACGTAGACGACGACGACGACGACAACGACGCGGGAGGAGGGAGGACGGCGACGACGACGACGACGACGCAAGAGCGCGCGCGCACGCTTTTGTTGAAAATCCGTGTTGCGAAACCTTGGGTTTTTGTAGGTTTTTTGGACGCGCGGTTTCGAAGTCCTTCCGAAACCGATGGGTTTTGAGGGATTTCGGCGTACGCGCGCGACCACGCGCGCGTCTGCACTTCGCCCATGTTTTGCAGAGGATTCTCGCGACGGCACACGCGCAAGGGCGTTCGACAGATTTCGACATGCGCGCGCGCGCGAAACCCGTTTGGTAGCATTTTGTGAAAATCTTGAAGAACTTTTTTGTGTTGTTTATTACTATTGTTATTATTATTATTACCATCATTATTATTATTATTAGTATTATTATTAATATATATATATATCTTTATATAAAAGATTTCGCAAGAGCTCGCGCGGAAGCTTTTCTAGCAAATCAGTGTTGCGGAACCATGTGTTTTTGTATTTTTTTGGGAACTCGATTGCGAAATCTTTGCGGCGCCGAAGGTTTTTGAATGATTTCGGCATGCGCGCGCGACGACGCGCGCGTGTGCACTTCGTTTCATTTTTTGCAAGGGTATCGTGAAAAAATGTTATGTTAGAACAAAAGATATCACCGCATTTTTTTTTTTTTTTTTTTTTTTTTTTTTTTTTTTTTTTTTTTTTTTTTTTTTTTTTTTTTTTTTTTTTTTAAAAAAAAAAAAAAATAAAAAATAAAAAAAAATAAAAATGTTTTTAAAAAAAAAAACGGGACCCTCAGGGGGGGGAGCAGGCCTGCCTGGGATGTCATGATTTCATATTTAGGATGGACGAGTGTGCAGTGTGTGTGTATATATATGTGAAATTATAGTACCCCAGGGGGAGCTGATAAGTCAAGGGGGGGGGGGGGGGGGTAGAGTCTATTCTTTTTTAGAAAGGAGAATATATGTTGTGGAATCTATGTGGTGCAGTATAGGTTGTGCAATCTATGTTGTG